AACACTGTAGAGAGGAAGGGAGGGAGGGAGGAGAGAGGGAGCATTACTGCTTGATAGACCAGTAGTGTTGTTCAAACTTTGCCATCTTTCATATTAGGCACAATAGCTTCTGGACAAATATGTCAGTCCGGAGAAGTAGATTTGTTATATGTTCTGTTTCCAGGGCTATTTAAATTTCACATATTTTCCTTAAAACATTTGGAAATGTGTTAACAATATTTGCATTTCATTTGTAAGACTGCAGTTTAATCCCATTTATTTTATTTGTATAAAATATGGTTGATAGCAGAAGAAACTCCACTTGTGTATGTTGATGGTGTGTTTGTGTGTTGGGAAGTAGCAGGCGGAGAGGGAGGGGCGGAGGTCCAAAGGGGAGCGTCCAGGGAGGATTCTGGGGTCGGGTGTCCGCTGCCTCTGTCGGCCGGCGTTGACAGCTACAGACGCTGGTCTAAAATGAGAATCCTCTTGGGCCGCCTGCCTGCCCATCCAGCAAGAAAATAAATCCCATGTGGAAGAGGCGCTGTGTGCGATCACAGACAGCCGCCTGACCCCCCAGCTCCGCCGGGGGAGGCCAAGGGCGCCGGCACGACAGCAGCCCCCCTCCCTCACCCCTCCCTCACCACTCCCCGGGTCTAATGTTACCGCGCTGCTGCCAAGTCTCAGATTGTGGAGCTGTGGCGCTGGCCCCGCTCTAACGCACTGAGGAGAGATTTCAGGGAATTTGTGGATGAGAGTTTAAGGGAAGATTTAGCTTAAGGTCCAGGTTAAATTGCAGAAATAACACCAGGGTCCACCTGCTGTCTTTGTGTTATCTGCTATTTAAACAGTTTTGAAATGTTGAACAAATGACTATTGTGAAAAAGACATTTGATGTCAAAAGAGTGGGACCAAAGACATAGCTTTGTGAACAATTAGAGACATGCATGAAGGAGGATACTGCTACCAGATGGAAGGTAATACACAAGATATTTTCAGATTTAAATTTAATCTGGAACTGTGGGCTAAGAGAAAAGTTTAGTTGATGGTAGAGAATTTGCTTTTTGGTCTCCAAGCAAAACCACCACCAAAGCAATTAACTGTTACTGAAGTGGCGTGAATTTTGGTTTTTTTGGAGGACATTCAACCTTTTTAATGTCTGATCTCGCATGACCTCAGAAGCTAAGCAGGGTTAGGCCTGGTTACTTCTGGGATGGACAACCGTTGGGAATACTGGGTGCTGTAGAGGGTTAGTGGCTCTAGTTTAAACTGCCGTTGGGTCCTTAGGCAAGATACTTCACCCAACTTGTGTGTGCTCTTCTGTCAGTCTATCCCAGGGCATCTGTGTCTTACTACCACCAGGTGTGGAGTGAATGAAAAGCATCTTTGAGAGATAAAGATATAAGAGAGTGAGATATAAATTGAATGCAATATTATTATTTAGTTAAATGATTTCTACCTCACCTTTACACTGTTACACACATTGTTATTTGTGTTTAACGTTAGGTCTTCAAGAGCACAGAGAGCCATTTGAACTCACAGCAGATGTATATCAGGAATGAATTTATCATGATCACAAAGCTCAGATTCAGTGGTTTGGCTCTTTTCTCTGAATTTGCATGTTATAAGGTATAACTTCTTTGACTATTATAACATTTATTTAGTCCATAGAGTGATCATTGCAAACACTATTGGTGTTACTATGAATAGAGAGACAGAACAGTTATAAGTGCAACCTAAACACGATTTGGTTAAGTAAATTTCTCTACAAACTTTGTTAGCAGACGTTCTCTCTCTCTCTCTCTCTCTCTCTCTCTCTCTCTCTCCACACACACACACACACACACACACACACACACACACACATATATATATGTAGACAGACAGCTTTTGAATTGACCATATTTGCTGAACTATAACTTTCTGCCTTTGTGAATGAACTTTGGGGAGAAGTTAGGGTATTGAACCCTTCCTTCCTGATGGTGTTGTTTTTGTGCGGAAATTGAACGAGATACTGAGAAGACTTGGTGAAGAAATGCATCCCCGCTTTAAATAGTTAATTACTCTGTCCGTGTCTGGGCGGCGTCTGGCTGCGGCCCGAGGACTCTGTCTGTCTTGTGCTCGTCTCCTCTTCCAGCGCAGCCTGCAGCCTGTGTGTGTGCTCCTGTCTGAGGCAGGCTCCAGGCGCTGGGGGTGGGCTCCGCTCTCTGATGGTTTTCCACTGAGTATTTGTCAGGTCAGACTGTGCACCGCCCGGCGGTCTCCGCTCCTCTCCCCGGGTTATTTATTACCTCTCCCCCGCCAGCAGCCGGCAGCGCTGCGGCTCCGGGGCCGCGGCCAACAGCGGCAGAGAGGGGGGCTGTAGGGGGACTCCCGATGGACGACAGCTTTTGTCATTGACCTTGAGCAAAAAGAGAGTAGCTCACCATAGTCACAATGTTAGACACAACTTAGGTCTGTTGCATAAAATACCTTTATATCGTATCAGAACAAAATGTATGATGTTGTAAGGGGATAGGGTAGAACTACTCACTCTAGAAAAGAACTAGTATGAGTCTAGGAAACATCAGAAGGTATTCTGACACTTATGGATCCAGTTGAGTTACTGTTGCCTTCTAAATGTGATTTATATTTAGATAATAACTTTAATTGTAAGCATCACTGCTAACCTGTGATGCATACTGAAGTACTGTGCTTTACATTTTTTGGTAGTTGTAGAAACAAAATACTCTTTAGATAGAAGTAACCTTGTTTAGTAAAGGTTAACCTTTTTTCTGAGAAAGTTGTGTTGATGGAAAATTGTCCTTAGACTGACATCAAACTGCCCTTTGAAGATGTGAAAAAGTGCTTTTTTTTTCGGGGAACCCCTCCATGGGACATGAGTCACTGGTGACATGCGTGAGGGGGCTGGGTGTCCCCTTTAGGACGGGTTTCATCAGGGCTGTCCTCACAGGGCGTCTGCTCCTACACAAGTTTCCACTGAGTATGGCTTGGCTTTTACATAATCTCATCTGAATCATACAGGGTTGCACTTCCTCAAAATGAAGTTTGAAGTTTTATAAACACACACCACAAACAAATGATTCATGTCACTAGTTTCACTGTTGAGTGGGAAGGACAAGATGAATACACTAATTTAGTTTCAGTTTTACACTTTATTTACCATCAATATTAAATTATCATGAATTTCACCAGACTTATTATGCACTGTTGAACTGTTTTGTATGTTTCATAGGCTGTCAGTTATTAAGTCTATATAATAACATTACATAGTGGTTCTCAAAGCTTGTTTAGTGGTGCTTGCTGTTTTTAGTTGGGTGTAGAGAGTTTATAATTGCTTTTGACCTTGATTAATCCTCATTTAGACTTGTGTTGTCTATGTATTCCATTTTTCTTGGTGTGATGAAACTAGTCACTACAACAGAACATAGGTGCTTTAGATAATGCTTCAGGTGGACCCTTGTATTAAGTCATGTGTTTTGGTTTTCAGACTTGGCCGGTTAACTGCTGTGGTTTTGGCCCTCCTGCTTGCTCCATCCGCCCGTGCGGTGGCCTGCCTCCTTCCTGTGCGTCCGCGGCAGTTTGGCCTGATTTATGGCTCTGACACAGGCCTGGACCCCACCTCGGAGCTGGATGGCTATTCCATGTGTCGGCTGAGCTGCGAGCTCCACCTGGGTGTTCCACTGATGGGGGTCAGATGTGGTCCACGAGCTGGCCTCACACACCACTGCAGACCTGTAAAATCAGTATAATAGTTAGTACAGATAGACCACCATTTATCAAGAGTAACATGGAACATAACTTTAAGTAATTTCAGATTTTGTGGAGTGCAGATCATTTTGATCAAAACAAACATAAGTAAGTTTACTTAAGTCTACTACTGTTGACTTAAGTAAACTTAAGTAAACATCAGTGATGTTGTTTTTATTTACACAAAAGGAGCAAACCATGAAACTTTGAAGACATTCATACAATAGGTTACACTTAAAAGTGCCATTATGGTTGTCTGTGTACATTGTACAAGATGTAGCCTAATCAACATAAGCTACTATCATAAGACTCTTTTATGTTTTCTAAGTATTTGACAGGGACGGGGCAAATAAATATTGCTCCCAAAAATGTGTCTGGCTTGCACAATGTAGGGCTTCTAGCCATAGGCTTATTATTTCAGTCATTCATCAGTCAGTAGACCTACTGTCCTCAAAGGTTTACATAAAGTTGTGTTTATATTGTTCATATAAACTAATCTATTTAGTGTAACGCCCAGACTTCTTCTTACCTCCCCTGTGACGGTCGCTGCTCATGGTGCTTGAGCGCTGCCCGTGGCTGTACCCCCTGCATTCTCTCTCTCGCTCTCCGTTGTTAAAATGGGCCAAGCCGAGGAGCGGCGGAGAGTGCAAATCTTGTTTGGTCTGGGGCTGTGAACTTCAGCGTGACTTGACGTGCACGGGGATTAAAAACAATTCCATCCAAACTTATGATGCGAGGATGTGCTCAGTTTGAGTTCAAATAAGATCTTATAAATGACATTAGCCAGAGAACAAGAATTTGCAACTTACACAGTCAATAGTGATCCTGTACTATATTGGCTAATAATCTTTTTTTTATCGTTTAACTAATGAAAAAGGGTTACAACTTCTTATTTCTTATTTAGAAGACTGAATGATAACTGTCTGTATTTGTTACAGTTGCTTCATAAAAGCACCAAATTGTCCAGTCAGTGACGTGTGTGCGAGTGACAAGCCTCAGATGACTGGCCAACACGAGGTCCACGCTCAGAGCTTCTAGCAGCACGCAGGAATTAACTGCGCGGCTGAGATTAGATGTGGGAGGTAGGAGCGGCGAACTACTGAATGGGAATCTATCCGGCAACTTGAGCACAGTGCTGTCACACGGCGACACGCGGGCTCTGCGTAAAACCAAGCAGCGCGTCTCCAAGTCTGGCTCAGCCCCTGCGCTCACACACAGAGAGGACGCTCAAGTTGGATCAGGGCAGCCGCTGCTCAGTCACTCCTCTCTCGATCATGCCTGCGATCAAGAAGGAGCGGCTGGATGGAGACGATATGGCATTGACCGCGTTTAACCAGGCCGACTACCTGGCTCCTTTAAATGCCACCGCTATCCCCGTGGTGACCCCGCATCCGCCGCCCTACGATCACATTTTCGCCCATCACCGCGCGTACTTGGGGCTTCACGACTCGGCGCTGCATCACCAGCACCTCCACCACCACACGGACGACTTAATGCTGGAGCGGTTCTCCTCCATCCCGGACTTTCAACCCTTTTTTGACAACGGGGAGCCCTGTATCGAGGTGGAGTGTGGCGAAAACAAGGCATTGCTTTATATCAATAAACTGTGTCAAGGAAGTAAGGGACCTTCTATTAAATACAGGGGCGAGTGGCTCACCCCAAACGAATTTCAATTTGTGAGTGGACGGGAGACGGCCAAGGACTGGAAACGCAGTATTAGACACAAAGGTAAGGATAAGTGGTTCTGTTTGGGTGGTTTATGGTGATAGATGGCACGCGTGTTTTCTAATGGCCACTTTTGTTGTTGGGACGAACTTGCACTCGCGGTTTGTTCTGAAGGAGTTACAATCGGCTGTGCGAATTGACGTTATCCTCCACGATGCTCTTACAGAGTTTGGCCAAATATCCAGCACGGAACCAGGGCATCCGGGTTAGAAAGTTTCCGAGGGTTTGAGTTAAGCACTTAGTGTGCAACAGACTGTAGCTGTGCCTTTATATGTTTATTATATTACTCGATATTTAAAGGCACACCTGTGCACACGCATCACATGTTCAACCCAGAAATTGTGAATGCAGCTTTTTATGGCACGATTTAAAAAAAAATATTTGGACTCACGTGACTACTCTGATTTACTGAAGAATTTCTCTGCGTGCTATGGTTTGCTCTTTCCTGTTATTAAAACTTCCACTTCAACATTAACGCATAATTGCGTATCTTGGGGGCCCTTTCGCCACACACATTAGGTTAGTGAGGCAGAACTGACACGCGTTTGGATGAGGGGGGAGGGAGTCACCCCCAGGTCAAAATTAAAGCCTAATAGTTTGATAAAGCATGCCCACAGACAGATGACAGTTGGCTGCTGTCTCTGCCTCCTTCCACTGCTCTTTAGGCATGCATAACTGAAGGTCTACATTACACAACTCTTGACCAACTCTCCACACTATTGTTTAAGTTTAAAACTGACAAGAGATAACTTTTAAGGGTGCTTCTCTGTGTTGTAGGGAAAAGTCTGAAGACGCTCATGTCCAAAGGGATTTTACAGGTGCACCCTCCGATCTGTGATTGTCCAGGCTGCAGGATCTCATCTCCAGTGGTAAGATCACTGTTTCAGTGTGTGCATACACTTTTCTGCTTTTATGGCAAACAAACTGTGAACCATATGATAAATGAAGTGTAAAACAATGGCGTTTTAAACTTTTTGTTCTAGGTTTTAGTTGGCTTGGATTCAAGCAAAGACATTTGGGGGAACATTTGCTAATTTTGTTTATACTATACTATATGTTTACATAAACATTTTCCACCTGACTGTAAAGATGAGGGGAATTTTGGTGATGAAATCTGTCAAGTTAAGTTTCTTTCTCATTTAAAGCAGATATAGTTTGTGTTCTAAATATCTAGTATTGTCTGGTTTGTTTGCAGTTGAAATTCAAAGTCACTGCTGTTTCTGGGCATATCGTTGGTGTGGCTTTTCTGTCCCATTGCCTCCATTTGTCACCTGGCTCTTGAACTTTTGTTTGCCCTGCGTTTCCCTGGGGGCTGGACTGGGGCGCCATGCCAAAGCTGTGGGCTGCGCAGGTGTGTCACGCTCACACCGTCTCACCGCGGCTGTCTCTGTGTGTTTGGGCTTTGAGTTCGCACGCCGCCGGCTCAGCGTCGCCAAATCTGTTCACGCAGGTGCAGCGGGGCGTGTTTTTATCACCACGAAGCGCATCTGTCGACGCTCCCAAGCCCTAATCTTGAGGGAAGGGTGTAAGAGGCTTAGCGAGCTACTGAGCGTGGCTACTGCTGATTATTGTGGGCGAGACACGCAAAGGCAGAGGCGGTTTAGATAAGCCAGAGGTGTTTGAGCCGTGCAGGTAAACTGTGACATTTCTTAGGGCCAAGACATACTTCCTGTATCCATGAGGTATCAAGTATGCAGAATAATGGAGAGAAACTAAACTTAAATGTGTACTTTTATGACAGAAAGTAGTTTGCAAACACATACATAGGCCTAGACCTGAAGTAAAAACACAATTTGCTGGTTAGTAACATAGTACCTTAAAAGTGCCTTAACCTTTTAGCAATGAATTATATGGCTTCCATCTTAGACATATTCTCACCTCTATGAATCAATACTGGATTTTTGATGAAAATGTGCAGGTTATTAAGTAAAATTATGAATTTTAATTATGTCTGGAACTTAATGATCTGTTCCAGGCCTGCCTTTTTATGCTGAACAAACATATGAAGCTGAGAATTTGGTCTTTTTTGTTGTTGCCTGTGAAACTGTTGTTTTTTTTAAACTTAAACATGTGTTGATATAGCCAAGCGGTCCCCTTTTTCTTCATTTTATGTCCCCACTTAATAAGATATCACAGGTATGGACTTGTGGCTTGTTGGGGCTTGTGCGTCGGTTATTGCAGTGACGAGGCGAACTTTGTATTGACGTAAGCAGGAATATGAAAGGCCTTAAGGTTGTTGTTTTAGCCTTCTACCCTGTCTCTCTCTCCCTCCACCTCTCCTACTTCCCTTGTCTGATGAAGCTTGAAGTCTCCGAGCGAATACCACGGCGACGCCCCCCCCTCTCCCCCTCACCACCCCCTCCCCCCGCTCTCACATGCTCGGTTGTTGTGCTGGCAGCTCCGAGTGCGAGGCGGCAGCGCGGGCGGAGGCAGGAGGAGTAGGACTTGTATGGCCTGTGCTCTCTTCCCTCGGGGCACGCTAGCATCGCTCCACTGATGAGCACGGCGCACACACATACTCGCTCACGCCTACTACTGACACAAATTACCTCATGCAGACATTTATTTTGAAAGTTTGACGGCTGAACTTTGAGTGATCTTGCTGGGCTATAGGCACGAGGAGGAGAGCGTTCAGGAAAAGTACAGCAGCTGGTAGGGAGATGTCTCACCTTGACGTTCAGGACTTACTGAAGTTAATTTGCTGTGTCGGCACAAGCATAAAGTGTTTGTAATGACAAGTTGTGCAGTAAAACTCAAATGTACTCTTGGAAAATGTCACTTTATGTAGCTTTGGCGTTAATAAGAATACTTTATTTCAAACTAGCAAGATATTGAGCTATGCATCCCTGCTCCTTGCTTTTATTTTACAAACTGGATGATGAATCTTTTTATTTATTGATATGTAATATGATCATTTCCTTATATCTAACTTTTCTGGTAGGGGTGTGCCATCTGCCTGAATATTCCACAATAGGGCATTGAAGTTATTTCTCTTCAATTACAGTTGCTCAAAAAGACATTCAAATACAGACACATTGATATGACACATAACTTATTCTGGACTACCAGCACTACTGCTGTTCACTCAGTGCTTTTCTGAATATTCTATAACTTCAACTTTTCACCATATTATCAGACCACTGCTATGCATTGTGCATCAAGATATCAATTTATGATATGACTGGTGTTAACTTGCTATCAGTATATATCCCCTTATATTAAGCCTATTTATACTTAGTAAACAAGCCCAAATAATCTCTTTATCACTCACATCATCCAGTGACCATAAATACACGCATTCTCCATTATTTACATATTTTGTACTGTATGAAATAGCAGTAGGTCATGTTGCGTGTTAGTGGCTGTTGGCCTGACTCTTGTGTGCAATTGTGTATGTACTGTATTTGTGTGCGTGTGGTGGGGGGGGTGTCTCCTCCGGGGAGAGCACGGCTTCCTCTGCTCTGTTATTTCAGCGGAACTCGTGGAGGCCGGGAGGAAATTACACTCCCCTCCTCCGGCTCGTAAAGACCTCCTCCAACCAAGGGCCTCTCTGCTCACAAACATCACACATGCGCAATCCCGCTCTGCACAAACTTTATATCAAGTTCTCCAAGGTTGAGTTGAACCCCAAATTGATCAAATCTGACCTAGTTTACTTATACATTTAAATTATGTAGTATTCTGTAGTCCTTGTTGAAGTTCAACAAAACTGTATACAGAAGTACTCACTGTGTGCAGACTCGTCATCCTGAATCCACAAAGATTCAGCAAAAAGCAATTCTCAACCTTGAAATTTTCTGAAAGGAAAACTGTGCAACTGTGATCTTGACAAAGCTGTCCCAATTTTTGAAAATACTTGAAACTACAAGCTTTGTTTTGAAACTTTTTGTTATGTAATCATCAACTGATGTCTGAAAAAGCAGCAAGTTCAAGTGCACAAATTTATTTGGCCAAAACTGTGTAAGTCCATGTTTTCCCTCTTATTCACAAAATCAAACTTCGGACTAACTTTGGGGCATTAGTATTTTAAAGGTAACTACACAACTGTTTGAGGGAAGGTTTGCCACCTTCTTGTTTCCATGGAATTTTTATGCTTTGCAAAATGTGCTTTTGTGATAAATACAAACATTTAAAATTATCTATTCACTGAATCCTAAAATGCTAATTATCCTTGTCAACACTTCTCTCTTTTGCCTCCTTCCCCTGGCAGTTATTCAAAGCTGATCCTATGCAAAACACATTAATATACAAAGCTAAACCATAAGTCTAAATTGTTCTAGATATGTTTCTACACCCCTGATTGGTTGTTTAGCTGCAGAGGTGGGTATTACTCAGTTACAATCACTCAGTTACCTTTACTTAAGTAACATTTTATGCAGTTGTTCTTCTTGGAGTAGTTTTCAAACATTCATCCATACTTTTACTCCTACTGCTCTTTGTTGACAATATTAAATGATTTAACTTTCTTAATCCACTCCTTACAATAATTTCAAACTATAGTTCAATAGTTGTGTCCAGACTTACTGAGTATTTATTTCCTCAAATACTGTTTGCTCTAACTTGAGTAATTTCTGGAGGTCTACTTTATGCTTCTGCTTATTATGAAATATCAGTACTCTTAGTTGAGTACACATTTTTGGCTACCCTACCCACCTCTGTGTAACTGCCTCTCTTTTCTGTTTGCTAAAGTGTTTAGTGAGGTGATGTCTGTACACCACTGCCCTGTGACCTGTCCTTAAGCCCTCTCTCTCTTGGCGGCAGTAGTGGTGGCGGTCCTGTACAAACACTCAAGAGCGCTCTGTGTGTGTGTGTGCGTGTGTGTGTCTGTGTGTGAGGGAGTTGAGGGGGGTGTACGGTTCTGCTTGCCTGACTGCATCGCCACTGACCTCCCCACACACCCCTCCGCGTCTCTCCCGCCCTGTGCCGCTCCACTGGGCTGCGACTGCCGGCTGGGCTCTGCGCGTGGGGCCATCAATGTGCGTGTGTATGTACGAGTGTGTGTGTTTGTGTGTGTGTATGTGTGTGTGTGCGTGTGTGTGTGTCTGTATATATGTGTATGTATGTGTGTTCATGCGCGTGTGTGTGTATGTATGTGTGTGTATGGAGTGGTCGCATGCTTGCTCTCCCCACGGAGATTTCTCACTTTTTTTACTTTTCTCTCACACGGCCTCAAACGCCCAAGTGTTGCCTGAAGTCTGCACAGCACCACACACACAAGCACAGTCCCTGACAAATGAAAACAGGGCAGTAAGTTTGTAAATAGAGTCTAGTATTATAGTTAATTTCTTTAGGTGTTGTGTTTTTATATGACACAGCTTCAGAATATAGTAAAAACAATAATGTATGCAACTTATATACCTCTTTTTTGGACAATCAAAGTTTTGTTTTTAGTCAACTTGTTTTAGAAGAGTGACAAAGTATTTTAGATTGTGAAATATTGTGATTTTGTTTGGTGATACTGTATCGTTGATTGCAAATTTTTATATTGCAATGAATATGTTTTTTGGCACAGTTTTTTGTGCTGCCAATCTACAATCATCAATCTGTCTGTGAAAAAAAAGGAAACTTGTGAAAAATATGAAATTAGTTAAGGAAACTATGAATCAGTTGTACTGTTACTTGTCTGTCATAATAACTGCATTTCTTAAGAACAGTTGTGTTAATAGAGGTTTTAAAATGCAAAAATAACAGAACTAAATATGTTAACATTGTGATGTAGAATAGTATAATTTTTGGATATTATTGTGAGCCTAGTATTGCATAATGTATAGAATCATGAGATACCCTCTCATTCCCAGCCCTAACCTTTTATCACTTGTTATAACATGCAATATATATTTAGTAGTATATGTTCATTATGTAAAAGTAG